AATCAAAATACCCTATAAAAAAGATGTTAATAATACCAAGTAAATAAAAACTAAAATATATCTATAATGATCATTTTGTGACTGATTTATTTTAGCGCAATTATTAAACATACTAAAACCGTATTCAATCATGATTTAGGGTTACTGTATTTGAATGATAAATAAAAATGTTACAAAAAAATCTATAATTTTATTACATTTCATTTTTCGTGAATTAAAATCATTCAAATGTTCAAAAAAATTTATGAGGCATTCAAGATTCAAACTAAATATCAGTCTTCATACTAATAATGTAGTTTCTGGCTAATTGAATTAAAAGAGAAATTTTTCATTGAAGTAAACTTATGCATGATTAGCGATAAGTGAAATGAAACATAATTTAAAAATAATTTTCAGCTAAACTGGATGCTTTTACCTGAATTTTGTTTTAAAGAAAGAATTCAATCTTACTTGTATAATGATCGATCGCTGGTGTAGTTTGAAATATTTATTGATTTCTAAACAAACACTGTTATTCACGGAATACAATAGTGAGTTTCTTTTTTTTTAAAAAAAATTTATTCGTTGAAAACTAATTATCACAGTCGGAAATCAAGTAGCCAGACAATATAGAAAATTTAACATTTTTAGTTATAGAACCAATTCTACTGTAGAGTAATATAATTTATAATGAACGGCTAGTTAAAGTTGCTCCTTTCTAAAACTTTGATAAGAAAAATTGAAAAAATTTCACAAGTCATTTGGTACTTATTACTTAAACTATTCCGAATTTTCTTGTGGAATACGTTTATTTTGTGACATACTAAATTTGTTGTATAAATTCAGATTTCTCAGTCTACATATAATAGTATCTATCCCTGAGTTATCAAACCATTCACTTTTTACATTGTACATTTGAAATCGATTCAACATTTACAGAAATCCCTAGTACCGATTTTCAACTAGATGGTTTAATTGTGAACAACAATTATCAACATTCTAATCATGTTGAAATCATGTCATTACATATAAATTGATGACTGAATATCTTAAATCAACCAACTGAATAATATAAACAATTTTTGTTTGATCCTATAATCATTTAACAGAATTTGAATGAAATGCAATAATTAAAAAAATGTTAAGTTAGTTTGTTACAAAGCGGGTAACATTGTTGATAATTAGTTAGTTATCTGTTATTCATGCATACACACATGTTATTTTATTTTCATCAGATTCACTGTGCACATTTTATACATCATTGATCTTTATTGATTCTTGAAATAATGACGTAAAAGTACCATAAGATTAGTTAATAATCATAAAAATATTTGTTTTAAAAAAGTATTAACAAGAAAAAAATTCCATCTAATCAACACTTTGATGAATATAACAAATAAATCTATGAAATTTTTAAATAAATCAATTTTTTATTCTTCACTCTTTGTTGAAAAAAAATATTGGAATAAAAGATTTTATTTTCAGGCAGAGTTCCGAGGTTTGTGTTTTTACACATTTGAAATCATCAATCAATCATTGTTAGACCACCATTAGAAACCTGAAAGCACTGGACAGTCGTTTCGTCCTGGTATAGGACTCTTTAGCAGTGCGTATCTACGACTCTTGCACCTCGCAGGATTCGAACTCGGGACCTTTGGTATTGTGCGCGAACGCCTAACCATTGGACCACTGGGCCAGCATCCAACGGTGTTAATATCTAACTCTGATTGATCTACGGATTTCGCGTGACCTCACACATTTGTCTTTGGTATTTACTGCCTACACCCGACAGGGTTGAACTCCATTGGTCACGTTTTCTCAACTAGATGAGTCCCACAACAGGACGAAACGGCAGTCCAGTGCTTCCAGGTTTCTAATGGTGGTCTAACAATGATTGATTGATGATTCCAAAAGATTTTATGTATGTTTTATCGAAATAAATATATTTGCAGGAAATCATTAAGTTTATAAATACTTGTATTCTGTCGATACTGCACTACATCAAAAGTTTTCTTATGTATAAAATATGTGAACGCATAAATTTTATGCTTTACTTTTCAAATGAAGAACTTTCCTAATATATAAAACACAGTTACAACAAATAAATAGTATCTTCTTTTATTCCTAATGTTCATTTAATAAAGCAGCGGTCTCATTTATTAAATAACATAACTTTTTAACAATGAAATCGTGTATTCAAGATTCAAGAAATTGTCTCATTAATTCATAAAGAATTCATAATTAAACACTACGATAAACGCAAAAAAATGTAATTTCACGTTTAGCTAACGGTGAAAAAATATCAACTTTCGATGGATTTTTTTACGATAAATTAGGAATGTTTATAAAAACCATTTATTATCATTAGTCACTGAATGGTTAAATTAACAATTAAGTGATAAACACATTTATTAAGATGCAGTAGGTATATCAACAAGTAAACGTTCAACCATGTTGGAGAGTAAATAAGCAATTCCAATTTTTTACAATGAATTCTTGAGTTACTTTTTTAAATTCTGTAAACATTTTTTTTTCAGCAATTAAAACATTGGTTTTTTCAACTTATAATATTGAATCACAATTACAGTTTCGAGTTTCAAGGACATTTAGTCTTACTTATCTAACAGACAAACACTTTATGCTATCACAAATTTACACGTATTATTTATTGATCAATGTCGGTGTCTACGTCTAGCAACAAGGTCAAATACATTTTAAATATTTATTAAAACAAGCCTAATTCAAAAGATAAAAAAAACAATTATCGTTCAATATAACATGGAAAATATTATAATAATTATGACTTATATCTCAAATGAAATTACAAATTACCATCAGAGTTTATATGATAAAATGAAAGTTTATTTAATTAATGCATAATAGTTAAATTAAGAAACGCTACTACTACTACTAATAATAATATCGATTTATATTTCGATATTTTTAAATCAACACAGTAATAATGAAAAAATTCAATAATATTACAAGTTTTACTTGAAAAATTCGATATAATATGAACAAATGAAATCTAAATAAAAAAAATATTGCCAAATTACACGAAATTATGTAAACAAATGTAGCCAATTCAGAGTCATAGTACTCTGAAAACTTTATTCCTAGATTTTTAGTTATTATAAAAACTTTGACCAGTAAATTTCCAACCAGTAATACAATTTAGATTAATAGCGAGTGAATGGGGTTATCTTATAGTTTAGTGTATTTTTGATTAGATGTTACAAATAGATAACTATATAACTATGAACTGCTGACTGTTGAATTCATTCAAGTTGGTAGATGAAAACTATCTGATTGAGATCCGTTAGGTTATTGTGACCAGTGGTTGGATATGTAAGGCGCCGTGTTTAGGAAAGCTTGAAAGGGTATGAGTACGCTTACTTTTTACTTTCATTTAGATCTTGAATTTCTAACAAGTTTTTGGTATGTTATTTGTCGAATTCGTTCGTTCAACTGGAAAAAAAATTCTTTATGCTTTATTGTTTCTTAATTATCAGAAAAAAATTTTTACTTTCCCAACTATCCTCATTTGTTCATCTCTCTAACAATTGAAACTGATCTAAATATGAACTTATGATTGACTTAACGGTTTAATCAGAAACAATAAATGCTAATAATTATATGGTTACTCGATTTTGGACAATGATAATTATTTAATAGCAAATAAATTATAGAATTCGTTATAGTATTCAATAAAATAGTATTATGTGTCTATAAATCAGTAAATAGCTTTGAATACACTAGTGATTATAGTGGAGAAAAATCGAAATCTATGTCATAAAACGATTCTCTGACGTTAAAGAGATGGGAAAAAACGTTTTTACCAAATAAAGTATATTTTTAATTACGGCATTTACGATAAGAACATAGAGCTTCAAATCTGCTCAAAATAAGCATATACATACATGAAAAAACATTTTGTGTTTTAGATAGCGAATGGTAATGAAATTTATCCTAGTTAAAATATAATAGCTAGATATACCTATAACCTAATGTTGAGTCAATCATCATAGAGAGTCAGTAACAATATGAATTTTATTAAACCGATGAACCGATCAACGTCAGACTAACACCAGAAACTTGGAAGCTTTGGAAAAGCATTTCTTCGTAATATGGGACAGTCTATGACTAAACAAACGGGAATTAAACTCAGGATTCTCAGTATCATGCAAAGTGCCTAACTTTTTGGTTGCAGTAGAAATCCTTAGAATTCCATTGAGAATCCTAGACTAGCGAAGTTCAACAATGTCTATACTCAGGCAATTCATCATCGAAGTCAATGGATAATGGTAGTGAAATGCAATGGATTGACTGGAGTTTAGTATTAACATTACTGGAAGGTGAATAATTGTTTTAAAGTTTGAGCATATTCGCGTGAGACTGTATGTCCTGTGTTTGATTACCAAGCATAGAGTCGTGGATACGCACTGCTAAGGAGTGAGATGTTAGGATGAAAAGGCCATCCAGTGCTTTCAGGTTTTATGTGCTGGTCTGCCATTGTTCGGTTCATAATTTCAGTGAAATTCAACTATTTTCACAATTATATAATGGCAGTAATTATTAGGTATGATTTATTTTCGAAGCATCTTTTAAATTCATCAGTTAGAACCTTAGAAAGTACCAAATTATAATCGCCTAGATTATGGCTAGCTAACATAGTAATAGTTTTACATGTACTAAAAGTATATATTTGTTACTCTACTTCTGAGACTTATGCAATTAAGTTCAAATTATATTTAAAATCATAATAATTTAATCCAGTAATTGAAAGTCTGGAAATGAATGTTGATAAATTATTCTGTGATAATAATAGGATCTCCAAATGAATTCAGATAGTTGTAAATATCAATTACAGAATTCACTATAAACTGTTTTTGAACAGTAGTAAAAAATGGATACCATTTTTTTTTACTAAAACAAACAAACATTAAATAATCCAGTAGATTACAATTTAGTCAATGTTCAATGCAAATAACAATATGTAGTTCCCATTGTTTAACTATTACCTTGAATTGTTTTAAAGAATGCAATAAATCGTCTAATTGTCGTTCAGCTTCTTTTGCTGCCAACATTGTTTGTTCATTTGACTGTAGAGTGTTCAAATCATAATCTGAATGATTGTTAACCAATGTTGAATTACTGAAAAAAAGAAAAACACATTTTATTGAAATAGCTGCTTTAAAATAAACTTTAGAACAAAATATATAATTTTGGGGAGTTAAGATTTTTTGTAAGTTTACCTTGAGACATTATAAATAACTAAATAAATTCTTATGGTAGAGAAAATTTTCTAAACTATAAAAACTTTGATTATGAAATTTTCACTGTCACACCAAATAATCAATAAACTCAACCAACGATTAGTTACGGCAAAATAAAGTTTTGAAAAATAACTTTTGTGTCTCACATAACACTTACAATACATTTCAGTTCGTTGATATAGTACAAATCAGAAAGCAAGTTTTTATTTTTTATTTTGAACTGAAATGTTTAAAAGTGTGAATATTGGTTGATTGAATTTCTAACATTAAATAAATAATCATTCAGAGTAAACATAGTAGTGCATATGAATTTAATAGAAATCATCTTTTAAATGACATTGTAATCGACTAGTTTTCATTCATAATACAACAAATTCAAAAATACTGATTTAAATTAGTTCGATAGAAAATATTATCATATTGAATATGTTTCACAGGAAATTTGCTTTATACTATGCCTTTTGGGAATTTCGACATAGTTCAGTTGATAACAGTGTAAGTGTAAAACTAGCGACTGAAATTTTATTATAGTTTTTATTTTTTTTTTATCGAACCAATATTGTTTATGGGAAAACTATTTTTTTTAAAACTAAACCAGACTAATAAGGATAACAGAGTAGAATTTGACATAAGGTACATCAGCTCATGGTATTGCAATTAAGTAGAAATTTTATCAAACAAGAGATCAGCAAAAACATCAAATAAATTTCAAAAGACAAAAACACAACCGAAAAGTCGTAAAAATCTTGAAAAAAAAGAATCATCCATAAATATGCTTGCTTAAGCCCTAGTTTTTATACTAAATCGGAGAAAACAAGATACAGTTGCTTCGATAATTAATGAGAGAGTTTATCTGATAGCAGTGTCAATAATATCGAGAAAGATTAGACATCAAGAATAGGGTATACACTGACAAACACAGGAAATACAATATTTAGGAACAAAGAAAGATTAAAGAAATCTTCTTCACTCAGATCAGATTTAAGTTATAGAACGCATTGTCTTCAACTATTGTTCACTGTAATCTCTTGGACCCAAACCATTAAAACTGATTTTAGTGACTCATATCTTTGATGTTTAAATTTCTCAGTTATAAAATAATGACAGCTCAGCATTTAATGTTTACAAAACAATTTTACCATGGCAATTTTTGACAACGACTAATTATTTTTCAGCTTCTCCAATACAAACCAGTAAAAAATAACACTAAATGTAGTTACTTAATATATGTAAATCGATGTCCTTACTTCAGCTGCTGAAGATACTTATGAACTCGTTAGTATGCTAGTCACTGTAAAAAGTAAATCTTCAGCAACAAACTTAAAAAAATAGTAAAAACTTTAATTTTTTAAAACATTTATCTGACAACATGCTTATGATTTGAATGTCCTTTGATTGAATTGCGCGCGTAATAGTTCAGAAGTTTCAAACAATAATCTAACCTATGTGAGTAAATTGTTGAATAATTGTGTCTGAAGAATTCTGAGAAGAGAGTATCAGTTTTTTCTAGGTTATGAAAGTTTACAGTTTCATATCAATCGATTTCAACTATAACATACAAATTAAAACTGATAGCAATTGTTAATCAAATGCCATTGCCACTGTAGGAATTCGGTAAATAGAATTCCACCAGCACTACACATTAAACATACATTTTATGGATTTATTTGTTAATTCAGTAAGAACAGACAATAATTATGACAATAACATTTGATTTACTCAACAACCTATGGCAAAAGTCCAGTATTTTTTAGCAAAATCTAACACAAGTTGACAATTCTATTAGACAGGATAAGTTGTAAAAACAAAGTATATTGATTTGTTAGTAAAAAAAAACGCAAACAAATTTATAAAAACATTTACAATTTCTAAAATATTATTTATTTTCTTTGAAATATCTTTGCATCATAATATTTTCTGAGTCAGAATCCGCATGAATATGTAGTTTTAAATGAATTAGATTTTTTTCCAGTCACAAAGTGTTTTATGTTTGAGTCGTTGGTTCCAAAGATTTTTAACCCGACAATATCAAAGATAACTTTGTTTATGTCTATTATGTCTTATTTTAGATGAAGAGCTATAAAAAGGAAAGATGATACAGATGGTAACAGTTGAACATAAGATTCAAACTAGACTATACAACAATAATAGTTTTTTTAGTTATGGAGTGAAAAAAAGCGCTCTACTTCTAGACTATTAATCTTAAACACTTCTTACACAAAAGTATTATTTATATGTGATGATTATTTAAAGTAAACACAAAACATTTTGAGTTTTTTGTTATTCAAAAATCAATATTAAAGTAAACTATCAGAGAAAGATTAATGATGACTAATCAATGAGAAACAACACGATATTATGTTAATGCAATAATAAGTGATAATTAGAACAAAAATAAATTATTCATCCAAATGATTTGAAGAGATTTAGCATAGTTTTGAGATTATTATTATTATTTATTATGAAAAGACATTAGGGAGATTCTTAGTGTTAGGATATTCATCCAATATCCTAAGAGAATTATTGGTCAAATCCTATTGGTCGATTTCTATTGGTCAAAATTATGGTCGTGATAACTGTCAAAGTCAAATACTTCAATGTTGTTTCTTATTGGTTGTCCTGACTATCAATGTCACTTCAAATGTTACTTCCTATTGGTCATCATAACTGTCAATACCACAGAATTCGATGCTGTTTCCTATTCGACCAAAATGTATAAATACGCATTACCTGTAACGTTTATTGACCACGACCAGGACCTGGTCCCGGATCCCTAGTCCGGGATCCTGTTTCTCTTCTGGATTCGGACCTCCTACTTTCTGGATGCTTGTAGAATACAGGTTCTACTTCATATCACATTTTCTTACTTTAACTCTTCTGTACATGATCTTAGAAACCAAATAAGTATGTGTCTATAGTTGTAAGTGTTGGATAATGGAACTATAGAATAGCTTTAATTAAACTAATAGCATGATATAAAATAAACAGTTGGTAAAAGATTATTCTCTTATTTTAACAAGTTTGTACATGTACTGCACATTTAGAAAAATTAACATTTTTTTTCAAAATTATTTAAAAATTTAAGCAGTTTTTGGATAATAAATTTAGTAAACTATTATTCATTTAACTGATTTGCATCCGAAGGTATAATGAATAATTCTTATCTGTTATATGAAATTAATGTTCTTTTCTTATGATGACCATATATCAGTCAGCTTACTTTGAAAACAGTCAACAGAAAAAGTATTTCGAATAGAAAATCTAATAGCCATTAATAAAATATGGTTAACGGTAGTTTTACGAGATAATAGCCTAAAAGTATATACCTTAATGAATAAGCTGACTGAATAAGTCTTTTCAAAAACTAGATAATACTAAGAGTCGATTTTGTAATAATGAATTATTCTTGGGTCATTGGCAAGTGTAAAAAGTCACTTTAAAAGGTTATAAAGTCTATAAACAACTAGAACCACGAATTTGATTTGCACATGTTGAATAATTACCTTTAAAATAATAGAAAAACAATTGGTAAACTTCAAGTTTCATCAGAAACTGGCATGCTAATAGATACAGAAACCACAGAGTGTTGGTCTGTGTTGAAAAGACCAATTCCAATCGCAAACACGTTGAATACATGAGGAGTTAAACTAATTATGTTGTGACAGACGTGAACTGATCAAACAGACGCATATGTGTTCATTTGGTTTTTTTAAAGAATCACTTAAATTACTTTACTAATAAGCTTCGTTTTTGTAATATTAGTGTTTACACTGAACAATGTCCTTGTTGAGATAATATTTTCACGATCTGTAACCAAGTTTCACATACATTCAAAATAACGAACTCTACTGATATACTGTAAGGGAAAACCAGATAAAGTAAGTGAACCTATTCTTTCTAAAACAAGAAGCATTGTTTAGAGAATCTCAGTAAATATCTACTTCTCTGCACCGAAATTTTTCAGTTCAACTAATCTCAAACTAAACTGTTGTGAAATCCTGTATGAAAATGACAGCTAGACAAAATCTATTATTCAACAATCTAACAAATTGCAATAAAATAGAAATGAAGCATAATTGTTGTACATACTGAGTGACTATTCAAGCAATAGAATGATCAAAATATCTTTAAATAATAATCTTTGTTCGTTTCATTGTTTGATGATAAAACATTCAAAAAATGCTGTGTAAAATGATTGATATATTAGGTTTCTGTAAAACTTCAATATTCAGATAATTATGATAAGTGTGTGTAACAGTAGTGTACTCATTTAAACAAACAATATACTTTTTGATTTATAGACAATTCTGTTTTAATACATCTAAAATTGCGCCATGGAATATTTTTCAACATTTTAAAATTATGAAAAACAATATTCTCTTTGAATTTTATGTTTTTGAAATGATGAATTGTAAAATAAAACTTTTTTTAAACAACTATTTATCTATTAACTTAAAATGTTTGAACATTGAATTTCTGTTCGATATTTAAACAATAAATTATTTTTTTCATGAAATAGTATGTTTATGAATTCGGAAATCTTTAAAATCTTCACCAATGCAAAATATTAAGCTAGAAAACAATATCCAAATAAAAAGTTTCAGTTTTTAAAAGTCTTTTCATGAATAATAATTAGGCATTTAAATGTTCATCTTTTTTCAACAGATTACAAAATATAGATTAATTCAATATTAGACATACGATTCATTGGAAATTCACTTATATGTTTGTTCTACTGTTCCAAGTCAATTATAACAAAATAACATTGCCAAGTTATTCATCCGTTGATTTTCAATGTTAGTTATTTTCTTAAATATATATCTTAAATTTTAACAGAGAAACTGTTTCATACGAATAATTTCGTGGGAAATGTTTCAT